CTCCAGAGCGATCGATCGCCCATCAGCATTTCCACGTAAAACCTATATTACTAGTCGTTCTCAAATTTTATGGCCACTATTACAGATGTCGGTTCACTTAAAACCGATACATATGAGATCCTCGAACGTAAAACTGACACCTATAATACCTCATTAGTACCAGTTTTATAATAAAACCAACACTAATAAAATAAGTACTAATTTATTAAAAAACTGGCACTTATACATGAGTCATCTGCACTGGTTCTCTAAAAATCGACGCTTATAAGTGAGTCATATGTATCAGTTTTCTTAAGAAAAAGGTGCCTATATATAAGCTGAGCTAGCTGGGTGAGCGTAGGAGGTCTCCGACGAAAATATCTATATACCAACCTCTATTTTTCTATTCAATCGGTTCCTCTCCACTTCTCGTTCTCCCTCCCAGTCTCTCACTTCTCTCCCCCTTGTTTGCCTATCTCGCCGCTTCCACCTCCTTCTCTTCGCTTCGATCTCCCCGACTTAGTTGATGAGGATGCAGATTGAAGATGATGGCAGCACCGGCCGAAGAGGGACGAGCTCTCCTCAAGAAAGCTTGTTCCTCTTCAGCCAACTCCGCCGTCTATCCCCTCTTTATCGGATCCCGCCGATGCCTCCGAGGAGCTTCTTCATCGGATCCGCACCTACATCGCTGATGTGCTTCTCCACTGGATCCTCGTCGTGCCCTTCCAGATCCATCACCACCTCTAGCTAGTGATTTAGCGGCGGCTTAGGCTAACGAGGCTCGTGCCAGCGTGCGAAAATGTGCAACCGGCGGTCAAATTCGGCCAGTCGCCTCGCCTCCTTCCCTCGGAGCTCATGGCCTTAATTTGGCAGCCACAAGCTTGGCGGCCATCAAATCCGGCTGGGGTGGGTGACAGCAGAGGTGGTGGTGTCATTCTTGTCTTTCTATATTTATGTTGTTGGATGCTGACATATGCATGTTTGAGTCTGTAATTTCGTTCTTCGATATTCTTGCAAACCTTTTAATATCGAGGTCTCTGTGTCGTTGATGGTGGTACATGGATGTTGATGAATGTGTTCTTGATGTGGGATGCTCTGAGGGTGATGAGGAGCTGCTCAATACATCGGCTCAAATCGAGCTAACATTTTGTTTTGATCCGTGGAACCTCAAAGATGTTGATTCCTAAACCAGCACCTTTGATTCCTCCTTATCAGTGCCACCCATTAAGATTGGAAAATCTGGTACCTATGTGAGGTTTCCAACTAGCACCTTTTAGGGTTTAGGTAGTAGTGACACTAATTAGATGCACATGCGCCATAGAAATTTGTATATTTAAAATTGATTACTTGGTTATGCGGTGAACACTTATCATAGTTCAAATCTTAGTGTCTGTCCATCTTCGTGCGCAAGAAGAGTATGTCTCGCTAAGAATTTCGCAAGACTCCCATGGATTTATCTTTAATTTTCGCCAGTACTAACATGCGCTGACAGGCCGTATGTTTATGAGTAAAACTTTTTTAATATCATTTGACCTACGTACGGCTAATAAGCTATGGAAAAATAAATGTCACAGCCAAAAATAGTTTATGAGTAAAACTTTAATATCCGTGTTGTTAGCTCTTTAGAAGCTAAGGCTTAAAACTATATATACTGCGATGAAAAATCCCAACATCAATTTTAAATTAGGTTTTAAAATTTAAATTTTGGTTCTAACTGATAAGCAAGCTAGAGAGATATTTCTTCATTTGTATTTCTCCCGTACATGTAATACCTCCATTATAAAATATATAAGGGTACATGTGCAAAATGAGGAAGGTAGTACGAATTATGATAACTGGCTGTGTGCGGTACTTTTCTGTTCGGTTATCTATTAACTCGATATGTACGGTTACCAATCACACGTTTAATAGACTGTTTTAATCTGTGTGATGTGCAGATTTGTTTTTGTCTGCCACATGCCTGGCTGACAGGCTCGAGTTCTGAACAATATTCATAAATCATCAAGAACATCACTGCGAGACACTTGAGGTGTGTAAACCTATAAGCCACAGATCCTCAATAGAGATGGCTTGGAAGACGGGAGATGTCACGAGCAAGGATTATGTGGAGAAGAATCGGGATGAATGGGGATAGATTGGATTATAGTAGATGAAATAACAAGGAATACGGTCCTGAACCTAAACGGCGCGACGCTCTCCGTCGCACTGAGAAGGCAGGCCGATGGACACTAAGATAAATATTGATCTAATGCCTAACTGACATGGGATAGGATCCCTCCTTATATAGATGGAGGACTCATTAATCTAATCCTAACAAACCCTAATCCTATCCAATGGGCCTAGGACGCCCAGCCCAAAGCCCATGACAGGAGACCTAACATAACATGTCACATGGTTAGGAGGCACATGTACATCCTGTGGGAGATTCAGCACTGCTGATCAGCTCAATGATTTAATGATCACCCATCGGAATGAGCATTTAATATCTTTGTGGAATGATTTGATGATTCATCAATCTGAATGAGAATGATTGAAAATGGTGCTACATGGCCACATGGTGCAAGAAAAAAAAACATCACTGCTTTTCTCCTTTTTCCCAACTTCTACTCTTAAGGGTGTGTTTAGTTCACACTAAAATTGGAAGTTTGGTTAAAATTGGAACGATGTGATAGAAAAGTTGAAAGTTTGTGTGTGTAGAAAAGTTTTGATGTGATGGAAAAGTTGGAAGTTTGAAAAAAAAAGTTTGGAACTAAACTCGGCCTAAGTTTTCCACGCATACGTTTTATGAACCGCTAAATGATGTGTTTTTTTACCAAAATTTTCTATGGAAAAGTTTCTTAAAAAAACCATATTAATCTATTTTCAATTTTTAACTAATACTTAATTATGTCTTAACTCGCCGCTTCATTTTGCGTGCCAAGGAGAAGGGTTCCAACCCCACTAAAAGAACCCAACCTAAATTTACAGTCATGAATTGTGTTTACCTACAAAGCTTTAAGTTTTTTCCTAGATTAAACAGGGACTGAACACACATGTAGTATTTAAATTAATTAACCAAGAGATAGAATACCAAGTTGCCAACTAGTAACCTAATTAAAGAAGGGCCAGTAAGGCAGTACGTAATTTTTATAACTAATGTCCTTGTGTGCAACATGGATAACATTTTTCTCTGTTTTTATTTTGTCACACATCTATTAAGCCAGTTGCCTTCCCTAGTCATATATGTTCCAGTACCGACTCCAAAATTTTCTTGCTAGGATTTATTTTTCTAATCCAGGCTGACTTCTGCACGTAAGTCTAAACCTAGGATGCAAAGAACTGAATCATTCTGATGGTCCACAATACATTGTTAAATAAAATATCATTAATGTATGAACAAAATTTCTATAATGGACTAGGAATGCTAGGAAATATAATATATGTTCTTATGAAACCGACACATTCCATTGGCACACCCTCTAGTGAAAAGAAAAGGCAAAAAAACAAGTGGCATATTAATCATCAATATCCCCATTCCATCAGTGTTTATTTAGGTTTGACATGCGAAAATGACATGATTTGCATCAAGAGCTACGTACATTCAGAATATTATAAATTCACTGCATTCTGTAAATACACTACAAAACAAATCAGTAGTCAAAATCGTATTTCACACCATGTCCAAGACCAAAATGTAACTTGTTTGTGAAATAAAAGGAAAAAAAATGAAAAACTGTCAAGCTAATACGGCCAAACGGGAGTATTAATTTGACTGTCCAAGATCTTGATTCAATGAGAGTTTCATTCTCATCCAAACAGGAGCAGGCAGTGTTTGCAAATGGCCATATTCAATATCCATTTGATCATAAGTTCATATATATTCACAAATATCCAACTCCCAATAACCTATGATGCTTATTATGTAAGATCAATGCTGCCTGATATAAGTTTCTTATAAAATTTCCTATGGTTTCTGCATCCTAGTGATCTCGAATTAATCTACACCGTCTGAAATCATGGAGAAATATTCGGTGAAAACCATCAAACAAGTGAACTCCAGTGAAAACCGGACCTGAATGTTTTCTAGATTCGTGAAAAAATTGAAATACATTCTCACCAAATGTTAAGCTCAAACCTCAAGTTTATTTGGGAGTAAAAAAAAGGACATCTTGAATCAATGGTAACATGATAATTCACCTGAAATTTGTCTTCTTTTTTTTTCTCTCAAATGAAGTTGGGTTTGGATTTGAGATTTGGACCTGATACCTATCTCTAGTAAATTTGTCATGTATTTAGAGAACTTCTAGAATTGGTTTTCATGAGTACTTATTTGATGGTTTTCGCAGGATATTTTCTCCCAAATTATAATCAGGTGGCTGGCCTTTCTTTATCTGAAGACTTGTCCACTTCCTTTCTGTCCCCCTACAAATCTAACAGTCTCCCAGTAAGAGCAGAACATTTTCTCCAAAGAAGAGTGGACACTGAACAAGATGCCATAGCTACATGACTCATGAGACAATATTGTACTCGAGTACACAGCCACCAGAACATGAACCAAAGAATCTCAAGGACATTCATCCATGGACATGGCCTGATTCCCAAGCCAGAAACCGCAGCCACTTAGGTCGCAATCACAAAACTCTTTTTTGAATGTCATAGCAACTAGTCCATGCTAGGTGTCAGGTTATCATTCCCTGCATGCTGCTGGTGCCAAAAGAACCTAATGTTACAAGTGGCGAGCGCTTATTGGCCCACGTGAAATACAGGCAACATGGAGCAGCCTTGCAAGGTGTGTTTGTATGGACTATGGAGTAAATTCCCTTGGTCACTATACTACTCCAGTAGTGTTAGAATGATAATGAAAATCCTCCTTTTGCAATTCTGTTGAGTTTTTGTACTTCTTCCGTTTCATAATGTAAGTCATTCTAGCATTTCCCATATTCATATTGATGTTAATGAATCTATACCTATATAGATTCATTAACATCAATATGAATGTGGGAAATGCTAGAATGACTTACATTGTGAAACGAAGGGAGTGGTAAATAAAGCATAGCTATGAATTGAGATAAGTAAGATCATCCAGATACATGATGTCTGTTTGGAATGAACAGATTTCATATGAATTTTGTAAGTGGAGAAAAGTTCTTCTGAGTGAGCCTAAATTAAAGGAAAAAGGTCAGAAGAGTATGACGATGGATATACTGGGCCAACCATAGGCCCCAGTTTACAGGCCCAGTTTCCTAACTGGCCTCTTTTCTCATATATGAAACATAGCTGCGGCCTTTTCTTGTCAATCTTCATTCCGTGGTCATTGTTTAGTGTAAACAGTAAATCACACGCAAACATCACAGTGATTCTTAAGGGAGAAAGTTTGCTTATCGTGGTTATAAACTTATATGATGTCAAATTTCTTACATGGTATTGGTCAGTATATGCATTATAACAGTGGTCGGGTAGAGTCTACCTTCCTCAGACTCGACCCAGCAAACCTTTTTATCGCACTCTTCCAGGACCCCTGCATGCAAACCAAAAGGTATAAATTTCTTAGTGATTTTGAAAGCCCACTGGCAATGACCAATAAATATTTCTTCAGCATTACAGGGCTTCAAGAATGCCAATCTAATCATCATAGCATAATGCGCAGCAGGTTTTCAACAAGGATTATTAGCAGCGAGTTTGTACCTTGTGACCATCTCGATACTTGACAGACGGATCAGCGATACAGTTCTTTATAAGTCTACATAGCTCAGCTGGCTTTTCGCGGTTTATGGCATGTCCAGCGTTCTTGACAATGACTAGCTCGGATGTATCCCCCAAATGTCTGTATCCAAACCAAAATTTATTGCCTTGGTAACTTGAATATTATGACAATTTTATTTAGACCAACCTCTTAAGCCGTAGGCCAAGTTCCAATGGAAAGACCCGATCTTGCTCTCCCCAAATTATCAAGGTTTGCTGTCAAATAAACAGAATGCAACAGGCAAGAGATTAAATTAACTGTAAAAAAAACATGGACAGGCATCAACTGCTTGTAATGGCAAATCATTACCTGGTTAATTTTTGGAAGGTCTGAAAGCTTCTTACCATTGATCAAAGCATGTAATAACTCAGTCTTTTCCTTGACATTCTCAGTGCACATAACCTGCAAAATAATAGGGGAAAAAATGTATAGAACTGCTAGACGGTTGGCAGAATTAACTAACTAATGTGAAAAACACATAAAAAAAGGTTCTAAATCTACTTAATTTTCCCCTCAAGCTGTCCTGTGTACTGAAAGAGAAGTAACCTGATGATGTGGAGTGCACATTTAAATCTCACTCTAGGTGCATAAACTGAATTACTAGTAATATAGTACTAGCAAAATATGTCCACGTTTGCTATGGGTAAAATGGCCATGCTTATTTGAATATATGTTATTCATTTGATTCAAACAAATATTAGACTATTGCATAATAACAGAAAATATCAGGGACTAATTTGTAGAACGTGCAAAAGTAGTGGTGGTGGGCATGTGGCAGAACCACCACAACCACTATTGTCTTTTTTAGTAGTATAGAGGTATACATTTCACTCTATTCATATGCATTGTGGGCAACATGTAACTACAAACATTATGATATTAACCTACAAAGAGTGGCAAATGCAATTGATGATTCTACAAGGATATCTTGCTATAATATATCAGATGTACATATAAGATGTATGCCGGGTAAAGAAATAGCATTCCAGGCTTCCAGCACAATCAAAATGATTTAAGCGAATTTATCATTAAAGAAAAAGTTTATTCCTCATAATATTTATTCCACCAAATCTCGTCTCTTTTTATTACGCTATGCTCCTCAGTCACACATGAGAACACTACAGCATGTCAGCAACACCATTTCCATCTATAGACTTAGGGCCACACCATTTCAAGAAAAATATGCTAACTTGTACCCTTTACAACATGCAGTCGTGCACTTCATGCTTTAATCCTTGACCAATTGAGAAATATATTTAAATTCCCTTTATGTGAGCTTTTCTTGCTTGAAGGGTCATGTTGTAAAGAATTGTTCTCATAAAGATGGATAAAGATATCTGAAGGACCATGAGTCCATGACTCTGGGAGAGCTTTACATGGTGCTCTAAATAAGGAAAACAAGCATGAATAGGGTGGATAATGCTAACTTGTTTAATGATCTGTGCATAGTATGTTGGAGTGCTGATGCATACAGGCATTCTCCAATAAAAATATTTTGGGATCATAGTATTTCAAATGCACAGCATCATTCTAGTTTTGTCCTAAGTCAAACATGTCTATCTTTGACCACCAATTTGAACATCGTTCAAACTATATGAATTTTTAGAAATTGATAATAAAATATACGAATGTCTGACTTAGGACAAACCTAAAACAAGTAATTTGAAACGGGGGATGTACTACTTGTTAGTAATACAAAATATCAATTATTCCCATGATCAAGAACTAAGGACTTGTGGTTTCTTAATTCCATGAAAAGAGTACAACATATGAATAAGAACAACTATGTCTAATGTCTCTGCAGGTTCAAGCAAAGTAATCAATGTGTTTAGCTAACTCAACTTCCTGTCGGGATATCAGCATAGCCAACTTCCAGTGAGGAATAATATTTCAACACTATCTCTTGATTGCACAAGAATGTTCAAGACTTCAAGTTGTAACACTTAAAAGCAATGTATCGATTGTTGTACACATCTCGCCAAAATCAAAGTGTTCCATGAATTATGCTCCATGGAACCAATCGAGATGGGCACCTGTAGTTCTGTACCGATGGTAACAACTACTGAACTACTATATCAGAAATATATTGCTACCATCCTAAAATGGCCTGAACCGCTTTATACAAGCATATTTGACATAGATAAACTGCTTATATTACATTACAAAGTAAGTTGGTAAGGTTCTAATAAGAACTATACTCATCCAATAGAGTGGAAAAATACTTATGCAGATGAACTTAGATGAGCTTAACCTATACCAATGAGTTACTCAATTTCTTGATGTGGTAACTAAAAGCATCTCCACACAACAAATAAATCTATATTTACAGTACAAACATTGGACTCCATTGGAATTTGGAAATTCTATGTCCGATCACCCATTGAGACAGCCAATGAAAAACCTAAGCATCAGATCTATATACTCTAATAAAACAATTATTCAGATGAACTACAAAATTAGATCTTATACAGCCGATTACAGAATTTCTAATTTGAAATTGCCATATAGCTAGACCCATGCAGCTCCAATGCCTCTATATGTTTCGATTTATAGGGTAGAAAGTAGGAATCACAAATCAAATTGCACATTTTAACACCCCAAACACCCAATCCAAAGTGACCACTATCAACCACACAAAGATTTCACCACAACAAAAAGCAGCAAAATTAGTTGGCAAGTCACTGGATTACCTACCCTGATGTAGTCTCTGATGAAGCAGGACGGCATGAACCGCGGCGGGCGGCAAAAGGTGAGCCCGACCAGCCGCCTGAGATCCTCCGGCCGCTGCGGCAGCAGCAGGCTGGCCGCCTCCGCGATGTCCTCCACGGCGAAGAGCCCCGCGGCGAGGTCGGCCTCCTCGAGGCACACCCCGGCGGCGACGAGCACGAGCCGCTCCACCGCGGCCGGGAACGCGTGGGCGAGGTGGTACGCCACGAAGCCCCCGTAGCTGACGCCGACGACGGCGTACCGCTGCGCCTGCGCCTGCGGGGCCCCCGGGAGCACCGCCGCCATGGCCGCGGCGACGCAGGCGGCCTGGTACGCCGGGGAGCGGTCGGCGGCGGGGGAGGCGGAGCCGCCGAAGAAGACGAGGTCCGGGACGAACGGCGCGAGGCCCGCGGCGATGAGCGGGCGGAGGAAGGGCGCCCACTGCCAGGTGGCGCGCGCGCCGAAGCCGTGGAGGAGGAGGACGGGCTGGAGCGCCGCCGCGGGCGGCGCCGCCGGGGGCAGCCAGAGGTGGACGACGGCGCCGTCGGGGAGCGGGACGGCGGTGGGGCGGAGGCCCGCGGAGCGGAAGGCGCGGGTGTAGCAGCGGTCCCGCGCGAGTGTGGGGCTCAGCCGTTTCTGCCACCGCCTCCGGCCGCCGCCGCCGCCGGCGCCGGCGGCGGACAGCGGCGGAGGTGGCGGCGGCGGCATTAGACGGCGGTCGGAGATCTTTCTCAGGTGGACTGCGGTCGGGTCTTACGCCGTTAGCAAAAGACTTGTTCCGTCGCCGTGATGACAAGTGGAGTAGGAAGGAAAATGGGGGAAACAGAAAATTCCCAAACTGCCATTCTACCTTTCCTTTCAAGGCATCGGTCTTTTTCAACAATTTCAACCACAACAGTTAGTTAGACTGTCTTAGGCACGTAAAATGATGTACTCCCTCAGTTTCATAACGTAAATCATTCTAGCATTTCTCATATTTATATTAATATTAATAAATCTAGACTTGATGTTAATATGAATGTGAGAAATGTTATATCTAGATTCATTAATATCAATATGAATGTAGGAAATGCTAGAATGACTTACATTGTGAAACGGAGGAGGTAACACACACATGAATAGTTAAGTATTAGCTATTTTTAAAAAAATGGATTAATATGATTTTTTTAAAAGCAACATTCGTATATAATTTTTTTATAAAAACACACCGTTTAACATCTTAAAAGGCGTGCAAGCGAAAATAAGAGAGTAGGAAAAGTGAAGAAAAGAACCGAGTCTTATTACTTTTCCGTCTCTTTTTACTTTCGGCTAGAAACCTCTTCCCCGTCCACCTTGAAAAACCGATATTTAAACAAATCTGACTATGGTATATAAAACCAAACTGCCCACTGTGTCGAAATCTTTCAACTAACCTGTATAAAAAACCATCGCAATAAACGGCTTATAACTAGGCTCTATAAAAGCTCAATAATTCTCCTTCACCTTCTGACCCCTGTCCAATCCCACATGATTATCAAAGAGCTACTTCCTCCTTTCCGTAAGAAGTTCATCTTTAGTTTCTTCTATCTGTTCTAAAATAAGTTTATTTTTAAAGTAATCATTACATCGTAGTTTATGAAAGTAGAAAATAATTGTATTGGGAGTATATAAAGTGAAAAATAGTTGTATTAGACTTTGATAAAGTAGAGGAAGAAAATTGGCTATGATGGAAATCGTCTGCAACCATGGCCCATGTGACCATCACTTTAACAAAATTGTTAAATCACGTTTTATAAAAAAAAAAGGAAAAAGTACGTTTTACCCCCCCCCCCCAAACTATTGCGACAGTACGAATTACCCTCCCCCCGGAACCACAAAACCGGTTATATTACACCTCAAACTATTGATACCGGCTGAATTACCCCCCCCCCCCCCGACTCAATACTGAGCGGTTTTGCTCCTACGTGGCATACACGTGGCGTCGACGTGGAAATCCAATCAAAAAAAAAACAAAAGAAAATATAGGGCCCACCTGTCATTACCTCTCTTCAGTCTTCCCCCTCCCCCCCTTCTCTCTCAGGCACGCGTCGAAGGGCAGTGGGCGGCGGCGGCGGCGCGCGGATGGGCGACGAGCGCGGCAGTGGGTGGCACGGCGGGGAGTGGTGGGGCCGGGGCAGGCGGCGGGCGTGGTGGAGAAGCGGCCGGTGGCTGGCGGGCGTGACGGCGCCCGTGCCCCCTTGTCGCGGCGAAGGGCAGCGAAGCACGGCTACGAGGCGGTTGGCGGGGGGACGACATCGCGGGGATTCGCCGTGAACGCCTACTTCCTCCCGCCGCTGCCGCCGACGGCGACCGACCCACGTCTGCGAATGGAAGACGTCGCGCTCGCCTCCTCCGCCGCACCCCCGCCGCCGCGCTGCACCCCGCAGCCGCGCCGCCCCCGCCGCCACTCGCCTCCTCCGCAGCACCTGCGCCGCCCTGCCTCACCGCCGCCGTCTAGCCTCCTCCACCCCCGCCTCTCGCCTCGCCGCCACGCTCGCCACTCTGCTGCCTTGCCTCCTCCGGTGCCCCCACCGCGCCTGCCTTGCCTCGCCGCCGCCGCCTCGCCTTCTCCGTCCCGCCACGCTCGCCTCTCCGCCGCCTAGCCTCCTCCGCCCCCGCCGCGCTCGCCTCTCCGTCGCACCCCGCAGCCGCGCCGCCCCCGCCGCCGCTCGCCTCCTCCGCAGCACCTGCGCCGCCCTGCCTCACCGCCGCCGCCTAGCCTCCTCCACCCCCGCCTCTCGCCTCGCCGCCACGCTCGCCACTCTGCTGCCTCGCCTCCTCCGGTGCCCCCACCGCGCCTGCCCTGCCTCGCCGCCGCCGCCTCGCCTTCTCCGCCCCGCCACGCTCGCCTCTCCGCCGCCTCGCCTCCTCCGCCCCCGCCGCGCTCGCCTCTCCGTCGCACCCCGCAGCCGCGCCGCCCCCGCCGCCGCTCGCCTCCTCCGCAGCACCTGCGCCGCCCTGCCTCACCGCCGCCGCCTAGCCTCCTCCACCCCCGCCTCTCGCCTCGCCGCCACGCTCGCCACTCTGCTGCCTCGCCTCCTCCGGTGCCCCCACCGCGCCTGCCCTGCCTCGCCGCCGCCGCCTCGCCTTCTCCGCCCCGCCACGCTCGCCTCTCCGCCGCCTCGCCTCCTCCGCCCCCGCCGCGCTCGCCTCTCCGTCGCACCCCGCAGCCGCGCCGCCCCCGCCGCCGCTCGCCTCCTCCGCAGCACCTGCGCCGCCCTGCCTCACCGCCGCCGCCTAGCCTCCTCCACCCCCGCCTCTCGCCTCGCCGCCACGCTCGCCACTCTGCTGCCTCGCCTCCTCCGGTGCCCCCACCGCGCCTGCCCTGCCTCGCCGCCGCCGCCTCGCCTTCTCCGCCCCGCCACGCTCGCCTCTCCGCCGCCTCGCCTCCTCCGCCCCCGCCGCGCTCGCCTCTCCGTCGCACCCCGCAGCCGCGCCGCCCCCGCCGCCGCTCGCCTCCTCCGCAGCACCTGCGCCGCCCTGCCTCACCGCCGCCGCCTAGCCTCCTCCACCCCCGCCTCTCGCCTCGCCGCCACGCTCGCCACTCTGCTGCCTCGCCTCCTCCGGTGCCCCCACCGCGCCTGCCCTGCCTCGCCGCCGCCGCCTCGCCTTCTCCGCCCCGCCACGCTCGCCTCTCCGCCGCCTCGCCTCCTCCGCCACCGCCGCGCTCGCCTCTCCGCCGCCCCCACCGCGCTCGTCTCTCCTCTGCCCCCGCTGCTCTCCACCGCCGCCGCCGCCGCCTCGCCTCGCCTTGCCGCTGCTGACTCCGCGTGCGCTTGTTGCCTCGGCCGTCGCCATCAGAAGGAGAAGAGGGAGAGACAGTGAGATAGTGAGAGTAATGACAGGTGGGCCCTATATTTTCTTTTTTTTTTTTACTGATTGGATTTCCACGTCGACGCCACGTGTATGCCACGTAGGAGCAAAACCACTCAGTATTGAGTCGGGGGGTAATTCAGCCGGTATCAATAGTTTGAGGTGTAATATAACCGGTTTTGTGGTTCGGGAGGGTAATTCGTACTGTCGCAATAGTTCGGAGGGGGGGGGGGTAAAACGTACTTTTTCCAAAAAAAAAAATGAGGGACCAAAATCTCTGATTCGCGATACATACTAGGACGTTCACCTTCTCTTCAAGCTCTGGCATCCCCTGACAAAGTCCAACAACCAAACAGTAATCCGATAAGTTAGGATTTAGGCTTGGAGACAATGTTTGGGTGGAAAGAGAAGACGAGAGGTCCCATCGGTTGGCTTTTTCCTTAAAAAGCCAAAACGGCTTATTAGGGAATAAAAATAAATATGTAGATAAAACTTTTATATATGTGTTTTTATGACTTAAAAGCTAATGGTGAAAAATAAACTACGTTGAAAGTATCTCAAAATTAAGTTTAAAAATTTAAAATTTGGCTTTTTCTTTGGTTTATTAGGTCATCCGATAAGAGCCGAGGTAAACAAAGGAGGCTGGTCAGAAGGACCTTATCGGCTGCGACAGGAGGATTGGCTTCTCGAGTTGTCGAGCACGTTGATCTGATGAATGAGGAGAGAGAGGAGAGAGGGAGGGGGCATTTGAACTTTTTGCTACTCACAATGTATGACATGTGAGTCCTTGTATGTTTATAACATATGGGTCTAGTGGTAAATCTTTTACTCGTAAGAGTGAAAAAAAAATAAATATCTCAGGAGCGTCAGTGGAGGATAAGGTGAAGGCACTGCAACCGCATAATAAATCTCAAAGCGATCTAAGCCCGTCTAAAATGTAACAAAAATAAGAGGTTCTCTGTCAAATGTGATACATGTCCCATAATTTAATGATCTGGAACCTACTGGACACGATTGCATCTTGCAAAACCCGAAAGTACAACTAAAGTTTATTCAACCACATTGCTAAAGCTGTAAAGCATCCCAATAACGTTTATGTATACTTGTTATCCCCATGTACCGCACCAGCAGGCACCATCACTCCCAAGTGTATCAATTACCACACTGCATCCTTTCAATAAAAGTTACCACACTACATCGAATTTCTCTAATGCAAGAAATTGCTTAGCACACATGCAGCTTTGAATTCAAATGATACAACCACCAACTTTCTGCATTAGTTTCATACTGCATATACATGGCTCCTTCAATGATAAAATAAGATTCTACTGTACATAACGCTATAACATAAAAGCAAGAATACCACAACTGAATCCAAATCCAAGCATTCAAGATTTTAAGATCATGCTATTCATGCTATGTTGAGAGTTTGGGTTATCGGCAGGTGTCAATTCAGCAGAACTGAAGAGAAGAGATTTACAGAGACACCACCAGTTAGTCTAGAACACTAGAAATAACCAGGGAGTGGTGTATCATCATCCCACAGCTCCTTGAATTCACTCATGAAATCACCTTCATCCATCTCGGTTGATTCGTCTAAAATCTTTTCTTGCACGGTCTGTCGTCATATCAGCAGGGACAAACGGCGTAAGTGTTCCATTTGGATAAAAGTTGCAGAGTAAGACATAACAGCAACGCTTAATGCTACTTGTTTATAGGGAACCAGGACATTACCTGAGACTCTTGCATTTTCGAAACAACATTCAAAATCCTTTGGTACTGATCCCTTGCTTCTGGGTATTGAACCATGGACTTCACTCTGGCAAGAGCTTTCTGCAGCCTTTCTTCAGTTTGCTTCCGTCCTTCTTGCAAGAAATCATAATCATCTCCAGCAGGTTTATCTTTGACCAAATTGCTACTTGTGCCACCACTGCTGCTCTCTATTGCACCTTCTGTAGGCCTAAAACCACGTA